CAGCTACACTTCCCGCATGCCTGATATACTTCCTGCATGCTTCTTACATTTCCTGCATACCTGCTACACTCCCTGCATGCCTGCTACACTTGCTGTATGCCTGCTACACTCCCTACATGCCTGCTACACTCCCTGCATGCTTGCTACACTTCCTGCATGCCTGCTACACTTGCTGTATGCCTGCTACACTCCCTGCATACCTGCTACACTCCTTACATGCCTGCTACACTTCCTGCATGTTTGCTACATTTCCTGCATGCCTGTTACACTCCCTGCATGCTTGTTACACTTCCTGCATGCCTGCTACACTTCCTGCATGCCTGCTACACTTCCTGTATGCCTGCTACACTTCCTGCATGCCTATTACACTCTCTGCATGCTTGCTACACTTCCTGCATGCCTGCTACACTTCCTGCATGCCTGCTACACTTCCTGTATGCCTGCTACACTCTCTGCATGCTTGCTACACTTCCTGCATGCCTGCTACACTTCCTGCATGCTTGCTACACTCCCTGCATGCCTGTTACACTCACTGCATGCCTGCTACACTCCCTGCATGCCTGCTACACTTCCTGCATGCCTGCTACATTCCCTGCATGCCTGCTACACTTCACACTTAAATTCCATGGTGTTTCTCACTTTCTTTACCACAGGATCTTTCTTTGGAGCCATGGTTACTTATTTCACAGTTGCACTGCAAAAATAACACAAATTACATTGGGAAATAAGCGAAATATTTGTATGTATGAGCAGAAGCTTCCTCAGCTACTGAGAGAGACAGCCAAACTGACATGCAAGCGGCCCCTGCCGGCGGACGGGTGCGTCCCAAATGGCTGATCACCAAATTAACGGCCAATAACTGGGCACCAAAAAACCGGCCATTCACTGAGTTGGCCGATAACAGAAGCAGCCGATAACTAAGGGTCCACTGTATTTGAGGGCCTTGTCTCAAATCTGCACATTGTCATAACTATATACTGGAGTGAGAGATATGGGAGGAAGTGCAAAATAAACCCAATGAAAGCAGGAGTGCAGTGGGCATGACAAGGGAACAGTTGTATCAATGTCCGTGACCCCAGACTATTCAGCATCTTACCAGAAGATATTAGAAACACTGCTGGGACAAGTGTAGAAATCTTCCAGTTTGAACTGGGCAAGTATCTTCATCAGGTGCCAGATCACCCAGGCTGTGATGGATATGTAGGTTAATTGACCACCACCAGCATCAGCCTGGTTGACCAGGCAAGCACCAGATGAGCTAGCCCATGCCCTGCTCAGAACTCATCAAAGGTAAAGGTCATAGTTCAAAGGCATAAATAAAGGATTGGAGTTCTATATGTACTGATGACTGAGATCATGGTTGGAAAAGCTGGCTAGCAGGCATGAGTGAGTGTGGTTTATAGGTTTAAAATTTTCTCTTTTAATGTATGTAGTTAATGTAGATTCTGCTAATGAATTGTTAGCTGAATTCAATAATATAATGACTGGTTTCTATATTCATCATCACATTAAAGAAACGATGTAAAGAAGAGAATATAAGTTACTGTCAGCACCAGAAAGATGCTGGAGAGCCATGAGAAACAAGACGGTACCAGGAACCTCTATAGGAAACACATCAACCCAGATACTTACCAGTGATATAAACTCTCCACTTTAGTTTTAATCAAACTGGTCAGCATTTCTTATTATTGCACCTACTTAATGCAGTTCTCAGTATTAATCAGTGTTTATATTGTTGTTTTTTTTAACAATTTTTGTATTAAAGGGAAGGTTAGTTTTTTGCAGGCACTGTAGAACACAGCCGTCTATGTCTTCTCAGTCATCTACATTTTTTACTAGTGAAGCTTTACAGCTCCACTGACTCAGAAAAATAGCTGTTCTGAATCAGCACTATCAGTTACGGCAATTTACACGTTACCACATTGAAAAGGCAAATAAAATTACTGTAAGTTATGTGCTATAAAATTACTAAACAGTATTGTACTGTAGTACCACAGGTTATAATACTCATATTCTTAACCCTTTCAGGGTCTGTACTGTAAATCTACAGCTTTACATTGAGGGTCCAAACCGTAGATCTACGCAATGTGCTCAGCTCACTCCGATAAGCTGTGAGCTGTAAATTTGGGCCTAGATATGAGAGAATACATTTATGTGGTATGTGTGTACCACATAAAATAAATCCTGCAGCACACAGTGCATAATGAGCGAAAAAAAAAAACTGAGACCGTAATTTTTTATTAAAACAGCAACTTTGCAGTGTTTTCTCGTATGTTTTTTTATAGTTGTATTTGCAATTTCTTGGTCTCATTTGATAGAATGGAAGATATAATACAGAAATAGAGATGATTTTGATTGGTTTTAGTACTGAAAATGGCTTGAAACTGAGCTCAAATTAGCGGAAATGTTAAATTTTTGCCAATGTTCAAGAGTAAACAAATGACCTCACATGTTTAATACACGCCAGCTAGTGGGTCTAATATATGTTCACAAATGTGCTGATATTATTTATTCAATTATTACAATATTGCATGACAGTAAACCTATTTTTTGGCTTAAATAAAAATTCATTATGTGAATAAAAAATCAAAATGGAATTCATTTGTAAAGCCTGAAAACGTAACTAATGAACAGAGGAAATGTTAGTTTAGTGCCAGAAATGCCTGCATTGATTATTATGGACCCTATTTTGAAATTGGAATATTTTGAACTTTGCATTAAATTGGCCAAATTACCAATTTCCAATCACTTTATTTTGTAGTTGAAACAGTTAAGTTGGCAATTTCTTGTGCTCAGTCGATAGAATAGAAGTAACACTAGTAAAATAGCTAAGAATTTGGTGGACTGGAATAATGTAATTGGCCTAAAATGGGAGTCAAAGTCGGCAAAATCGCCGATGCGTAAATATCGCTGACACATCTTCGTGAGAGCATAATTTCGTCAATTTTCCATCAAATTTCATACTTTTTGTTTTATTACCTTCAGAAAAAGAATCTCTACCATTTCATAATAAAATATAACAAAATTATTTTATTTTTAACCCTTTGAGGGTTTTGGTCGTACTAGTACGTCTTACGCGTAGGGGTTTTTGACGTACTAGTACGCATAAATTCTAGCGGCCTCAAATCTCGCGCGAAAAGGCTGGTAGGCCTAGGTGTGAGAGAATGGGTCTGCGTGGTCGGTGTGCGCGGTAGAAAAAAAAATCTGGGACCCAGTGGTGCATTGTGGGAATGCCCTCTTAGTAAACAATGTCCACCATGCCTCGCGGTAAGAAGGTCCTCACTCCTCGGCGAATTGGGACACTTTTGTTCCCCAGTGACAGTTCTAATAGTGATTTGGGAAGTGCCAGTGAAGATGAGTTTCGTGGTTTTAGTGAGGTTTTGACCGAAACTAATGACCCTAAATATCGGTAATAGTGAGGAAAACCCAGACGACCCTCAGCCTTCACCTCTGGTGCTGGGCCCTCTTGTTCACGTTCAGTTGTTCCAGAACCCAAAGAGGAAACTTCTATTTCCCAATCCCCGACTCAGATGAGAGCTGGGTGATGATAGTGATAGTGAATATGAACTTCAAGCTCTTCAAACTAGTTCCGTAGTGATAGTGAAGTGCAATATCCCAGTGAAGCGTCAGTATATACGACGATATATGCGCTCTGGTAGTGTGCCATATGTTATACCCAAGGGGAAGGAAGGTGTATCTTGGAAATACATCCCCTGGCTGTTTCAACGGAACAGACAGTGAAAAAAGACGAAGATATGTTGCAATTGGGATGGAAAATGTGCGTGGTGGTAGTGGGTGCCGGCGGTGAGGCACCAGCAGTGGGCCATGCTGCCCCCCACACCGCTGCCTCAGCTGATCTAGAACAAAGGCCACCATTCCCCCACTCACCCACCACACCAGCCTCCACAACCACAGCCTCCACAACCCCAACCACCTGTCATTGTCCAGTACCTACCAGCAGACCCCACCTGGGATTGGCAGGAAGCTGTCAAATTTTTTTCCAAATCCCCACAGTTTGATGACAGCCAAAGTGGAATCGGCCATCTTGTGCACTTGGGAACAAAGCCACTGAACTGGAATGTTCGAGTTATTCTTTGACGAACCATGATGAAAAGTTTTTGTCATGGAAAGCAACACATACTACGAGTACACCATGGCAAACACATTACTTTCACCAAAATCACGTCTACACCAGTGGAAGGAGGCAACTGTGGCTGAGATGTATCTTTTCTTTGCCACAATAATGCTTATGCCACATGTGTATAAGCACAAAGTGAAATCATACTGGTCAACAGACCCCCTGATTGCAACACCAGGTTTCAGTGATATAATGCCAGTGAATCGATTTGTGCTAATGTTACGTATGCTTCACTTCTCAGATAAAACCAGGCCTGACAGGCCTCCATATCTCGGTAAGTATTGACGTTAAAATTTTTTTGTTTAGCCTATAATGTTTAGAAAAAAAAACTCTATTTTTTCATAAGAAAAAAATAATTTTTTTTTTTTTGAAATTTGGCCGACCCTGAGAACGAGTTTCGGAGAGGGCCTGTCGACCCTCAAAGGGTTAAATTCTTGGACACTGGTGTGCACTTTGAAATTTGGCGTCTGGACCCTGAAAGGGTTAATATCCATTATTCTTCTGAATCTGTGGATCAAGTCCACTGATTCAGAATTTTGTCTGTTTATGTTCATCATGAAAATTTAATTTTATAATTTGGAAGTTACAGACAATCGGCCATAAAATGCACCCCCTCTCCATTATTAGCCTGTTAATTAATGAGTTCACTGTATTGCTACTCTTGCTTTCATCACCATTAAACTAATGCTACATTATTTCCTTTCTTCACTATTAATTAAATTTCTACTACCCCTCCTGTATGAAATCATGCTTTTATATTCCTTAGAGCATTCTAACTTTCAGAAAAGCACATATGGGATGCACCTTAAGTTTTGTTTTGATTGCTCTCTAAAGATTCATTAATGTGCTTTTTAATTTTCAGCTCATGCCATGAAGCGGTTAATGTTATGCCATTCTTCGATACCTGCAACCAACACCTTGCATCTCTGCAACACAAGTTAAACCAAACTAAAGCAGACATTCATGTGGACATCACTCGAGGTGTTGTTGCAGCTGTGAATACCTCTTCCTTTATGTACAGCACAGCACAGGGCAGTGACAGTGAACTATTAGTTGATGTAAACAAGAGTAAAAATGCATCAGTTTACCATATCACACCTGATAAGATCAGTGTTTTAAATATCCTGTTTCCATTCACTCGTGATCAAGATGACATTGTTGATGCCTCCATGGAAGAAGTTGCAGCCTTGTGTGATGTGATGGCTGCATATTCAACAGTGTGTAGTGAGCAAGATATTAATTTTGCACTGCCGCAACTTTGTGGTTAGTTATTAAACATCTGTTTTGGTTTTCCAATTATACTAAGCTTCATGTCTTTATTTCACTTTCACCAATTTATGTCAAGAAGTTAAATATAATCTGGAAGTTTCCTTAGATCAGATCTGATCACCTATTTCCCAGGTACTGTATTACCCCTATGGGTTTAGCAGTTCCCCGTGAATATAATACTGTACTACTGTAATATAGAGGTTTCCGTATCATTTTCTATAGTCTCACTTGGTGGACAATAGCCAGAATTCTAGACCTTTGTTGCCTCACATCCTCTCACTAATCACATTAAATGCTGTGTCATTTTTCTCTAAAAGCACAAATAGTCATCTTTTATAGTCCCTGGCCATGCTGAATTCAGGGAAATCAACTTACAGACTTTTCTGCAGTTCACGAAGCTCTAATTTTACTTGGCTGCCATTTTCTGATTTATGTTCTGACCTTAGTCCAGCACCAATGGGATCTCTGACAATATCAGTGGTCACATTAATGACTAATTGGCTATCCTCCCTTTATTGCTGTCATTTGTGAGAAATTACACGTGTATAGTAACAGTCTTCTCATGATGGTGGGTCCTGTGCCACATAAGTGCCAGGTTGCATCAACAGTCGAACATCTGAGTGTTCCATTCAGAGAATACATTGATGTAATTTTTCAGGTTCTCCTTCAATACCCTGACATGCCTGTTTTGTCTGCCCATCTCTGTGACACAACTGTAATGCATGTTCTCTCTATGACTTGTTAATTGAAACCTATTTACTGCTCCAACTGTGATGTCTTCATTTTACAATTAAGTTCGTCCTCAACACTTGTACCTATTTTTTCCTTTACCATCAATCACTGCTAAGCAATGAATAATTGCCCACATTAAAATTTAAACAAATTATATGATGAATTAATTACTGAAGATGGGACGTCACAAGTATAACACTGCTCCTGTCTCTATGAAAGAGTCAGTCTCATGCCTTGCTCCTCCCTAATGTGGTACCAACTTTATACTAATCCCAAACCAGTGGTCATTAGAATCCATTTTTCCTTTTACTTGTCAGGTGGGGAGAGTCTTCTGACCTATCAGGAGCCACTGTCACCAGTACAACAGCTTGATTTATTAATGCTGGTGAACGAGGATAAATGTGATAGTTTTATATACCAACATCTGATTCGTCCCCTACCCTCAGTTCTGGAGAGAATTGCCCATGGAAAGAACTTAAGGTGAGGGGATATGTGGTCTACTATATATTACCTACATAATATGTTATTGCTTCTCTTATGAAATTTGTTAATACTTGTTTAACACCAAAACAAATGTACATTCTATCCCTGAATATCAAAAAGATAATTCATTAAAGGGTTTTCCACAGTGACATATATATTGGTGTCCTGGGATATGGTTCAGGAAGTGGTGATGTGATGTACCACACATTTGGAGCATCATTCCTAACATCGGTCTCACAGTTCAGAATCACACAGCCATGGAACAATGAGCGTGCTCAGGGTTCTCTCCTACAAGGATTAAGAGCAGTGAGCACCTTTCCCTTTCGACCAGGATCAGTCCGGATTGCTTTTGTTGTGAGCTGTGATAATCAGGACCTTCCAAAGGTTTGTTTTCAAATATACTAGCAATGATATTGTTAGACATGTCCTGAAAATAATATTTGTATGATAAATTTAATTCAGAATTCTTCTTCTGTAAGTCATGCGTGTTGTATGAGGTGACTAAAATGCCGGGAGCAAGGGGCTAGTAACCCCTTCTCCTGTGTATATTGCTACATTTAAAAAGAAGAACTTTTTTTTTTTTTAGGTCACCCTACCTCAGTGGGATATGGCTGATTCATTGAAAAAAAAATCATTCATGCTTCAGCCCCTAAACTGGGGATGACCTATGTTACAGGGAATGATGTACATGTATATACAGCAAATTTTTGTACACCTCATTTCTGTTGTGGGCCACCATTTAATGCATCAGATCAACTATTTGGGTGTCCTGTCACCTTGTCACACCTCAGAAAAGAAATGTAGGGCCAGGTTCGTTCACGCATTGCATCATGAATAATGACGACTTATCAGGACGTGTAAACAGGGTGTGTGATATGCCACTCTGCATATTTGTAAGTTTCTTTTTATTCAGGCTTGTGTACATAATATATATTTTTGCAGTGGTCTTGAGAGTACACAAATTTTCCAGGCACATAAGGAGGACCTTTCAAAATATGTGTAATTTTAAACCAGGATAACCTAAGAAAGTCAAATGATGTGACTTCCATGTTTTGAGAGGTATCACACTCTGAATCAATTGTAATATCATAAGACTTCTTTGTACATAGTGTCTTGAGGGCAAGCAGATGTTATGGGCAATAAAAAGTATGTTACAGTTCATGTATCCAGTAATTTAATGCAGGTTAACCCAAGAAAGCCATGGAACTTACTTCCATGATTCAGGAGATATTACATACTGAATTAATTATGCTATAATAAAATTTTCTTGTACATATGCTAGAAGACAAAAACAATCAAAAGAAATAAGGAAAAACAATTATTTCTGCCAATTAATATTATTTTAACACACCGGCCTTCTTGCACTGAGGAATGATGACTTGAAAAAGAAGAAATACTTTCACCATTACTCACCACATCACTGTCTTGCCAGAGGAGTGCTAATACTTCAGTTCAGATGCCCCTCCAAACTGCTATATCCCCACCCCTCCTTCAGAGTGCAGGCACTGTACTTCCCACTACCAGAACTCAAATCTGGCTAATATTGTATATTCCATTTGAGGCTGTATTGGGCTAAGCATCTTCCCATGTTTTAAGTACAAAGTCACCTTGAAATACATCTAGTATCATATGAAATTAATGTACATAATGTTAGACACTGAAAACATAAAGTGAAAAACATAATTTAGCACAGCTTATCACATTCACACGGCTGTTGCTGACAAGTGATCATTTTTTTTGCCAACCTCAACGTGCAATAAAAGCATAAGTTTTCTTTTTATTTTAATTGTATTTTTTGTGGGTCTATTTAGAACAAATATATGCCCTTTGGCATAGGTAGTAGGTTGGTAGACAGCAACCACCCAGGGAGGTATTACCGTCCTGCCAAGTGAGTGTAAAACGAAAGCCTGTAATTGTTTTACATGATGGTAGGATTGCTGGTGTTCATTTTTCTGTCTCATAAACATGCAAGGTTTCAGGTACGTCTTGCTACTTCTACTTACACTTAGGTCACACTACACATACAAGCATATATATACACACCCCTCTGGGTTTTCTTCTATTTTCTTACTAGTTCTTGTTCTTGTTTATTTCCTCTTACCTCCATGGGGAAGTGGAACAGAATTCTTCCTCCGTAAGCCATGTGTGTTGTAAGAGGCGACTAAAATGTCAGGAGCAAGGGTCTAGTAACCCCTTCTCCTGTATATATTACTAAATGTAAAAGGAGAAGCTTTTGTTTTTCCTTTTGGGCCACCCCGCTTCGGTGGGATACAGCCGGTGTGTTGAAAGAAAAAAGAAGAATATGCCCTTTTAATCCTTTCAGTGTTGGGACCCCAAAATTAAAAGATCTGACATTGTTGGAATTTAACAAAAAAGTTCTGAAATGGTTGAGAATCATTTTTAGAAAGTAATGACACCAAAAATATGAAATTTGGTGGAAAACTCAGAATTGTGCAGGCTTAAAGTTGGCAGTCTGGGCATAATTTAAGTAGTGTATTGGCAATTTCACCTGCTCTTAGTTTTATTTTAAGCCAATTCCATTGCTCACTTCAACCAAATTCTTAATTTCACTATTGCCTGCCATTCTATCAATTGAATACAAGAAACCACCCATTCAACTATCAGAACTACCCTATAAAGTTCACATTAGTCGATAATTTTGCAAAAAATTTTACAATTCGACAAATTCCAATTTAAAAATAAAATCCAAAATAAAGACTGTATGCATTCCAACAACTAAAGCAACCTATCATCTGTTCATTAATAAAGTCTCCAGACCTCTCCTATATTACATTTGCCCTAAAGTTTAAATCTACCATCACAAAAAAATTGAAGTTCTACACTTTTTTTTTTTTTTATAAAAATATATAGGTCACATTGACTTTCATTGTCTTGCCTCTGGTAAGACAGAGTGAATGATTGTAATAAAGTTGGTAGAATTACCAACAATATGTAAAGTAAAAGGACACAAGTGCAACTAATGTGACATTTATTGTGGCAACGTTTCGCTCTGTAGGAGCTTTAGCGTAATGGCTTGATAAAGCTCCTGCAGAGCGAAACGTTGCCACAATAAATGTCACATTAGTTGCACTTGTGTCCTTTTACTTTACATACAGAGTGAATGATGTTGAAGGTGTTCCTTTTTCAGGTCACCATACTTCTGTGGGAGATGGCCATAGTGTTAAAATAATAAAAAATAGGTTTGAGGGAATATCCTGGGTTATATAAACATGATGTAATTTCTGTATGTCCGTAACACCTGTTTGCCAAGACCACTAAAATATATACAGTGGACCCCCACCTTACGATATTAATCTGTTCCTGAGAGCTCATCGTATGCTGAAATTATCGTAAGGTGAATTAATTTTCCCCATAAGAAATAATGGAAATCAAATTAATTCGTGCAAGACACCACAAAGTATGAAAAAAAAAATTTTACCACATGAAATATTAATTTTAATACACACAAACTGACACTTACCTTTATTGAAGATCTGGTGATGATTGATGGGATGGGAGGAGGGGAGAGTGAGGAAGTTGTTAATGTTTAGAAGGGAAATCCCCCTCCATTAGGACTTCAGGTAGCACGTCCTTTTCCGGGGTTACTTCCCTTCTTTTAACCCTTTCAGGGTCCGTCCCGTAGATCTACGGCTTAACGTTCAGGGTCCAAACCGTAGATCTATGCCAAAATTCTAGCGCCATCAAATTTAGCATGAGAAGGCTGGTAGGCCTACATCTAAGAGAATGGGTCTGGGTGGTCAGTGTGCACACCATAGAAAAAATCTGGACGCCCACATGGCATTGTGGGAACGCCGGCAAAGTAGCTTTGTTCATAGTGCCTGGCGGCAAGATGCTCTCACTCCCCACTCACTCTCCGGGCGAATTCTGACTCTCCTCTTCACAACTTACAGTTCTAAGACAGATGGAAGTGGAGCTGAAGACGAATTCTATGGTTTTGAACCATATGGTACCATTGTGCCATATGGTACAGTGGTACCATATGGTACAATGGTGCCATGTTTGTGTATAACTAAATAAACTTACTTATGATGCCACATGCACTTGAGTAAGTTTATTCAGGTGTACAGAAATACAATTACATAGATTATCATACATAGTAGCATATGTATAAAATCCTAGGATAACGCAAAAAAGTCAGGGTGACTTATTTCTATAGTTATCCCTGTATCTGTACCATATGGTACCCTGTACCATATGGTACCCTGCACCATATGGTACCCTGCACCATATGGTACCCTGCACCATATTGTACCCTGCACCATATGGTACCCTGCACCATATTGTACCCTGCACCATATGGTACCCTGCACCATATGGTACCCTGTACCATATGGTACCCTGCACCATATGTTATCCTGTACTGCATGGTACCCTTTACCATATAGTACAATGTACCATATGGCACCCTGTAACATATACCGTGTACCATATGGTCAATAGGTGTTGGTGGCATGAGACACCAGCCAAGACTGAGTGAGTGGCGACACAAGCTAGCTATTGACTCCGCAGTTTCCGAGACAAAGTGCTTTGTCATCCACCTCAAGGAACACGTAAAGTTCCTGTACACTTGTAAATATATAATAGAACATTACTAATATACAACATTTTTGCATATTTTTGTTGTAAACAACTATTGTAACCAAAATAATAATGAAAATATTAGTGTGTTGAATACAACAGTACCATATTTATTTATTTTATTTTTTTTTTTTTTTTTATTTGGACATGATACATAGTTGTACAAAGAAATATAGTGACTGGGTGCACATGCCAAAAGCCCCTTGTATGCAGAGCATTATGGGCAAGCTTAAAATTAACTTAAGATTAACTAAGCAATGATATATACAGTTCAATTAAGTTCATTAAGTCACAGGTACACACAAGTACAACTATCTTATATAGTGTAAATTACCTAGGATAACCCTACAAAAAAAATGTCAGATAAGGCCAGGATGAATTACAACACCTGGATATGCTGAATGTTGAAGACAGAGTAAAACAATTTGAAGTTAAATCAAGTTTATAAAATTGCTCATGAACAGTGTCCAGAATATCTTGCTGCCAATTATGTCAAAGCAATCATAGTACTAGGGGGAGATAATTATTATTATTATAATCATGGGGGAGCTCTAAACCTATTAGGGGGAGAGAGCACAATTTTGTAGTACCCACAGTAAGTGGCCAGGCTTCAAACACATTTTATTGTACAGCAATAAAGGAATGGAACAGACTGCCTGCACATGTCAAAGCCAGTCATAGCATGAACCAGTACAATGAACCATATGGTATCATTGTACTGTATGGTACAATGTACCACATGGTACCATTGCATCATACGGTACCATTACACCATAAGGTACCAT